TTTGTTTTTATGTACATTTTTTTCACACATTTCTCTCATATTTAAATGGGGTCTACCAACACCACCACACCCCCCGCCCCAGCCCTGTGGGGGGGGGGAATTCTGGGAGTTGAAGTCCACTCATCTTAAAGTGGCCAAGTTTGGACAACACTGATCTAAAGCATTACCTAATCTTTATTATCCCTAGTGTGCATTTTTCAGGGTTATAATGAAAAATCTTTTTCTGTTTTCCATATTAATATATTGATATTTCCAGTTGGAGCTTAGGTGCATCCTAATATAATACAGTTGTTATTTGTTCTTTACAAATGTGCAACTGTTAACCTCATGAAAAGCATCTTCAAAACTTATATCAGATTTCTGTGGTGGTGTTATTCAAAGTACCTTCCAGTGGTTAGTTGCGGGCTATCTTTTTTGTTAACTTGAGAAAAAAACGTGGCTTTCTTAAGACTTGCAAACACTTACCGTATCCTCTTTTCCCACCCCCTCCTTTTCCTTTCCTGCAGCTACCCACAAGAATTTCCTGAAAGAGGTAAGAGTGTGTTTTATCATTTGCATGTGGCTTAAATATTTTTTTTATTATTGCTGAGCTTCCAAACTGATCTTAAGTGCATTCAATCACCTCCTGAAAATTCAGGCTGCGTACATATGGTGTGGCTGCGTATGCTGGCTCCCCCTGCTGGAGGAAAAAATGGAAAGCTTTCCCTTTCCTTTTTCTAATATATATTTTGCTGCTTTTATAAAACAAAAAGGCACACTATCCAAGAACGAAAAATTGGGAGAAAAAAAGCGTTGCAGATGAAATCACCAGCTATTGGCACTGACACTGGCTTAAAAAAGCTTTCTGACATGAATTCTAAATTAAATGGAAGTGTTTAAAATATTCTTCACTTTGGCTTGCTACGTTGCTGCACTTACTGCTGTCTTGGAAAGGAAAATTCAAAGGAGTCCCTTATAACAACTGATTATTCCTTTGCTGGTCAAATGCAGCGGAATCCGTAAGTCACAATGCTGCCCCTTTTACAGAGATATTAGAAGCAGGGATATTGCACTTCTGTCAGTGGGCTTTCCAGGACATATAGCTGCTTTCAAGATCAGAAGTCAAATTTTGACCCAGCAAAAGAAATACTCTGTTCCTGGATGGGAGTTTTAGTTTCCTCCTTTTCTCTGGTTCTTAAAATATATCTGGAAGATGTATTTTTCCTTTTTCTTCATCTCTCTTTTGTATTTTTTGGCCTATGATTGCAAGTTGAGAAAATCAGGCAAAACGAAAGTGTCAGCATAATACTGTATATGTCCAAAATATAAATGAACGAAGTATACTTGGTCAAAGAGCAGAAGCAAATTGTAGCAAATACCATGAATATTTTCCCCCCAGAAAAGCTTGCTAACACCAGCTGGCTATCTGCATTTGCAGACACGGTGCTTTTATTTTCATAGTTTAGAGTTTCAGAACAAGAGCTGAAATAATGGGAAGCTGAAATGTGGTTTGCATATTATCTTCTAATGGATTTATTGAAACAGACATTATAGTCTCATTAAAAATAGCCTGATACAGTGGCCTGTTTTGAAGCTGAACCTGAAATGGCCTTTATTTTCATGATGCTAATTCATGAGGTCATGACCTGCAGCCTGTGAATGCTGGTATAAGGGTCACAGCATGAGGTCAAGAAAGCATCTGTGGAACTACAGTAGATTCTCCCCCTCCTACCAGTAGGGTAAGAGCCAGAGAGAGTAACATTTATTTATTTCATTTTATGTCAGAGTTTATAGGCCTGCCTTCAAAGAAGACATTTTCAGGATGGCTTACAAGTAAAGTTCAGATGCCCGTGATGCTGGCATATCTGGCCCATCTCTAAAATAACAACTCTGCTCAATTGTTTTTGGCATTTGTGTGTTCAGTTTCAAAATTACCTCCAGTTCACGGTGTAGAGTGTTTCTAGAACTGCATTGATTTAGATGCAAAAGGAGAAAGCTTCCTAATTTTCTTATGTAATAACATTTGGATTTTAAATGTTTCAAAGTAGTGATTAAAAAATAAAGATTAATTAACGTTTGCCTAAGGCCATTCCACAAATAGATCCCAAGCCAGGGAGAATTCCTATATACGGGAGTCAGATTGCCCTGTCCAGATAGAGTAGGGAGGTGCTGGTAGCAACATTTATTTTAACAAATCTTTTTGACTGACAAGAACCATGAGGGCATGACAATAACATGGTGTCACTAGAGGGAGTAGAGTTAGACTTAGGAGTGTGCAAAATGGTTTGAACTCAAAACATATTGTCCCAACGTTGCTGGAAAGTATTGTGATATGGTTCTGACCAGAGGGAAATGTTTCAAGCTTAAATTGTCCTACCCTGACTTTGATTTTGAGCTCAAAATGGGGATGTTTGAGCTTGGAATGCTTCTGTTAAATGCAGTACAGATTTCATTTTCAGCATTTCACACTCAGATCATTTCAAAGTTGAAATATTTTGAACACCCTGGTTTGAATCCCTGCCACTTTTTTAAAGTGTTTGTGGCTGGGATTTTTTCTTGTTTTTAGCAAAGTAAAGACTTAGCATCAGTTTCTCCTCCTCCTCCTCCTCCTCTTCAAAAAGGACATCGTGCTGCTCTTTTTCAGTAGTTTGCTGCAATAGTGTGATCGTGGGGATGGCGAGGACTCTGACTTTCGTGCTCACATCTCATTGAATTGAGAAAGGGTAGTATTAAAAAGATTATGGTTATGTGCACTTAAATATCAGATTGGTTTTTTGATCTGTTATAATACCACAAAGTACATCTGCATAAAAGCATTCCTTCAAGCATGGATCTAACAATCTAGATTCCAAACAGATAGTTTATT